GGTTACAGCTGTCATCATCGAGCTAGAGGGTGACAATTCATCTGGATCCAGTTCTTTTTGGTTCGATAGTGAAGTTACACCTTCTATGGTAACTGTGGTGACTGTCGGAAGAGCCGAACCACCAGATTCTCGTCGTGACAAGAAGCGCAAAGGGGAGGTGGTTTCTATAGAATCGTTAATGCCATCGTTTTTTATTTTCATCGTTGTTGCTGACGCTTGCACTACGATTGGAGAAGCTTTCGTAAACATTATTTGCATCTGTCTCAATAGTGCTAACGATTGTAGTGGTTGAAGAGATAGAATTCTTTTGTGGCGTTCCGATATTACTTTTGGAACTAGTAGATCCATCTAAAATCTCGCCAAAACCGGGCTTATGAGACGGTTTTTGAAGAGCAAAAGGAAGATTTATTTCAGGTAACGACTGATGTTTCCGCGATTCTGGAGCAGCAATTGCAGTCGTAATTGTCGTAGCGGTTATGGTTGTAGATGAAGGGGTCGAAGCAGTCTGAGGTAATTTTGAGTATGATGGTGATGATGGTAAACTTTGAGGGCTTTGGGGCGGTTGAGCCGAATCAGGAGTCGGTGTTTTTTTGGGAGCGGGCAAAGGTTCAGCGGTTTGTTGCGCTGTTGGATCGCCTTGTTTGTTCACCCTCCGTTTTTTCGCAGACTCCTTCAACTTTTCCCATCGTTCTCTGTATTTTGTCACAAGAGCTTTCTAATAACAAATAATAATAAATCGTAATCAATGGTTGTACAGAAAGTCAAACATATCAGAACTTATGTAATATACTTGTTTCTCGTTATCAGTTTTCATGAGTCGAAGTTCTTCTTCCAGTTCTTTTATGCGTTTTTGAAGGGTATGAGTATTGCTCACTAGAATTTTATAAATAAGGCAATAAGTAAAAATGTCAATCTAAAATACACAATGCTTATCACAAGATTATGCGATTACCGGTAGAACTCTCAGGCGAAGTTTGCTTCATCACAGGTACTGACCGTAACATTTCCTGGCTTGCTTTAATACGTTTTGCCTGTTTTTTTTTTTTTTTAAAAAAGTTACAATTAACCAATGAATACATTTACTAAAATATGATGAATACTAAATATCATCGGACCTGTTTTTGAAAATCATTTTTGAATTGCAAAATGCTACTCCTTAGCATACTATTCTCTTCTGCAGCCTG